AAAAAGCTGTATGCTAATGCAGACGAGTGCATCTTCGGCGCCGAAAAAATTTCCTTTTCAGGGTATTGAATTTCGAAGCGTGGCCTTCGAGTGGATATTGTCCCGATCAATGCCATTGTGGACTGGCCGGTTCCAAGAAACCAAAAGGACTTGCGCAAGTGGTTTGGCCCGCCAACTACTTGCACAAGTACAGCAAGAACTACGCAGAAATGGCACAGCCGTCGGCAAATCTCTTTAAGAATGTTGCGGAATGGTGTTGGAACATCGAACATCGGGAGGCTTCTGGCAGGGTAAAAAAGCTTCCCATATGGACATATACTGGCATTGTCAAACCCTGATTATTGCAGTGTCGTCTGGGACGCTTCGGACTTTGCGATCGGCTTTGCACTGCTGCAAGCAGACGCCTAGGGGCGAGATCGGGTGAACGCGTTCGAATCTCGTCAGCTCAAGGCTGCAGTGAAGAACTCCCCAATTCACGGCAAGGAATTACTTGTGGTGAAGTATGCACTTGTCAAGTTCAGGGTGCACCTGCTCGGCTCTAAGCCGGTCGTTATCTACACTGATCATGCATCACTACGTACTGCGACTCAGTCGCCTCGCCTCTAGCCGAGAATGGGCAGGTGGCTCTCCTTTTTCGCATTAGAGGTGAAGATTAAGCCAGGAAAGCAGAATGCTTTGGCTGATGCGTTGTCACGCAGACCAGATTATGAGCTGGCTCATGTCACGATGGTGATGTTGTCCGTGACGGAATTGATCCGCGCCGCCTATACAGGTGATGATATGTGCTTAGCTCTGCTACGGGCCCTCGGGAGCAAGGAGTTTGAAAACTCGGACATGAAACGGTCGGCGTGACTGCGTGCACGGTCGCACCAATTATCATTAAATAATGGATTGCTGCATTATGGCACCGACTCGACGGTTACACGAGAATTGTGGTTCCTCATGATGAGGTTGTGAAGTTCATGAGGCCCATGACTGGTCATCTCTGTCGTGAAGAGAACCTACTGCTCTGTGAGTTGCGACTACTGGTGACCCAGCACATATTTGCGCACGTGTGATACGTGTCAAAGGGTGAGAGCCTTTTGCGAATGAGGCGGCTCTGCTGGCCGGATTGCCGGTACCCTTCGGGTGTTGGCCGTAAGTTGGACTTTGGGTTTGGACTGCCAAAGGTACCGGCGGGCAACACGGGTGTCGTAGTCTTCGTCAACCGTTTGAGCAAGTTGGCTCATCTTGAGGCGGTGTCGATACAGCGACGCTGTTTGTGGATCGTGTCTTTTTACAGCACGGACCCTTGGGGTCAATTGTCTCTGACAGAGACCCACACTTCCCTAGGAAGTTTCAATCGGCAATCAACAAGGGGCTGGGCACCAAGTTGGCTTTGCCATCAGCGGCCCATCGCAGACCGATAATCAAACTGAGCGCGTGATTCGCGTCGTTGAAGACCTTCAACGCAGCGTCTGCGCTGAGACACCGAAGCACTGGAGCGCTATGCCTCCACTTGTGGAGTTTGCTCTGAACAATGCCATGCATGCGTTTACCGGCTACACGCCGTTCTAAAGGAACGGGCTTGTTAATCCTCGCGTCCCGCTGACGCCGCCATTCCATGGATCAGGGCTTGGTGCGGGAGGAATAGCAGAGCGGCTAGCTGATGTCAACCCTATCACTGTACGTAAGGAAATCGATGACTTCCTGTCTACCAGGCTGAGAGTCTGACGACACGTCCACGATGCGATGGCTGAAAGCCAAGACATGCAATATGCAGACGTACAGGTATGGGAAACATAAAAGCTTTGAGGTCGGAGACCTGGTTTTTGTAAATGTTAAAAACCTTCTTACCCATACAAATTCTGCTGTCTTTAAGACGAAGCCCCATCCGTTTTTTTTCGGACCTCTCAAGGTTGTGGCCAATCGCGAACATGCGTATTCGCTGAACCTTCCGAAACGAATGCGCACCTAACCAGTGTTTTGTGTGGGGTTGCTTCAGCCGTACCGGGGTCCGGCGCAAGTTAGCGCGGAAAGGTTGGCGCTGGGGCGGCACCCACAGGCGCTCGACCATCCAGAGCTCGACCATCAACTGCTTTTGAGCACGAAGTGCAATGATCTCTATCCCAACTATGCCAAGCGCACAACCTTCGCATGATGCGACGCATTCGTCTGCCCAACGGCTAAAGCCGCTCCGACAGTGCGCGATAGTCCCAACTTGAAGCAGCCGGTGCACAACGTGATCCAAGCTCTCGATCTCTTCCGCGCAGCGGTACGCGACCCAGCATGACGCTCGGCGGAGTTCCGACTTTGACGAACCTGTCCTCAAGAATTCGAAGATCATCACGAGTCATCGAGAGACGATCGCCCCAGTCGTCATCGTCCGCCGCCGACTCTTGGTGGTGTCCACTATCACGTGGAACGCCTTGTGAGTCGACGTCGTCGCCAAAGTCAAACCTAGTAATTTGTGAAGTGACGGGGATACCCTGACTTCGTTTGAAGTGCCACTTTGGCAAGACTTCCCAGACGTCGTTGACGCTTATGATCAGAGGGACCATGACGATCCGCGTCGACGTCGCCCCGCGATTCTCGGCAGTAGTCAGGAAGGTCGAAGGTTCATGAGCTGAGCTCAAGCTATGGCCCTGAGCTGCTGCGGTCGTAGCCTCACTCGTGTGAGAGACTACAGAGCTCGCGAGAGCGCGATGAATAAACCCATACGTCACAGGGCGACAATCAAAAAAAGTCGGCGAGGCGCCTTGAGTTTGGCAAAATCGAACCAAAGATAGCGTTCCATGCGCGCGTCCACTTCCTTGTAGCTCAACTGTAAATTGTACAGCAAGGAAATTTTCCGATGCCATTGCACCTATCGTTCGAAGCTTCGTCATCTGCAGCGGCATTGCCAGGGGCGAGCACCACAGGAATCATCCGCATCGTGGGTACAGGAGGTCTCCTCTTTGAGCACGAATCGAGTGCAGTACGGATTCACTAGGATTTCTTGAGGAACCAAGACGGGAGCTCATAGGGCTTTTCGTTGGTCAAGCTCAGCTTGTGTAGTGACCGGAAGCCCGACCACATAGACGCCTAACGATCAAGTCATAGCGTCTTTTGCTTCTGTAGCGGGATCCGCCGAGCGAAAGTCGTAATTAACACGAGGGTCAGGGACTGACCGTGGACGTGCGCACAGGAGAGCCGCTCTGCGGACAGCATCCAGCTGCTGCTTCCGTGCCTCGTCGAGGTGCCTGGTAATGATACCACTTCCCCTGTTGATCGAGAGCTCGAGGATTGGACACGGCATCTTCAAAATTTGAGCAGGGATCACGTCGCACTGCTGGGACACCTCGCTCTCTTCTTCTCCCCAACCTGGGAAAGGAGTATCCGACTCGTAGTCGACTTTCTTCAAATCCTCGATGAGGCAATCCATCGCCCGTGGCGGGCGCGGTGCGCGGGCGTTCTCGGAACCAGCGATGCTGGATGATGTCCTCGACGCAAGGCTAATTGAGCAGATAATGCGTGACGAAATCTTGGTGATGTTGTGGTGTCTTAGACACGTGAGCCTCGTTCGATGCGATAGTTGAACGTAAACTGTAGGTCTTCACAATCTTGTGTCAAGGGGTTTCACAGTCTTGTGTCACGGGGTTTCACGCACCCTGGTATGAAGGGTGTTGATCACATGAGATGGTGTGATCACACAATGGTGTGGGTTACACAAGACGGTGTGACCACACAATGGTGTGGCTACACTTAAACAAGAAGTCAATACGTGGCTGGAACAGCCAGTAGTTATACATGTAATTTGGTTTTACTAGATAAATACAAAACCCACAGATTTAGATATAGGCGAATTTGACGCAAATAACACTGGGAACTACAGTTTACATTTCAAACAGAAGAGTTAATTAGCCTTGGGTTAAAGTTATAGTTACCCTTGGAGTAAATCCGCTACACTCATACTGGTTCTAAGTATACAACGAAGGTCACCGACCTTAACCAAGCTTCCTCTAAGCAAAAGAGCCACTGCTATCCTGCTGCATGTGGGGTTCGGCCTGGTATCATATTTAAGTCCTGGCTGCGGGCTGTATCAGCTCTTTCGTGGGTATGGGCAGGGTGGTGTCACACAACCTGGAGGCGATGGCGAGAATATCTATATCGCGCTTTGTACCAAGCATCAAGCGACATTCTACTTCTTAATATCAAGTCACTGAGATTTCATGTTCCGTTCCACTCCTGTATAAGGTGAACGAATGCAACATCTGGGCGTTATTAACGCAGACTAAAAGTGGATCGAAGCTTTCTCAGTGCAAGGTGCATGGTAACTTCGTGCAAGATGGTGTTCGTCAGCTTTTTAAAAGAATGTATCTTAAACGAAATGCAATGAGTGCAATATCATTGATATTCCTTCTTTGAAAAGCAGCCGGTTCCATGAGGACATTTATTTAGTCCAACCGCTTACTTCACCTTTTAGGCACACACTTTGCTGCCTACATGTGCGGTTTTTAATCAATTTGATCCTTTAATTCCATATGACGTGAACAGCAACTTGACCTTGCACGCTAGCGTGTATAAAAAACTTGCTGCCTCCTCTTCTCTTTTCTTCTGCTCACAGATCTATCTAGTAACGCCGCACTCAGTAGAACCTTCCCTTTTCAGTACTCAAGCCAAGAAAAAAGAGATGGTGATTCAGAATTGTTTCGAAGTTGCTAGAATATAGATTCAATTTCTCTTGGAAGCAGCAAAGCAACCAGCGCCATAACGCCACTCACGAAGTATACAATGCGGATACAAGAATCATTCATATTTCTATCTAGATTTCGGATTATACGTAAAAAAGCATGAGCCCGTCATAATCAAAGTGGAAGTCACAGAATGGTTTGGTGAGGCAACTATTTCCCTCGTGGTTAAAGATGACAGCTTTTTTCTCTACAAAATCACAGTTCCATTTGTATTGAAAATATATAAAATTTGGATTTAGATTCCTTATGTTTTAGATTCCTTATGTTCATGATTTCTACTAAAAAAATATGTTGTCACCTCCGTCCATGCAAAAGCTATTAATTCTGCTCGTGCTCTTGCTCCGTGCTGACGCAGCGCGCGCTGAAAGCTGCGATGATGATTGTGCATCTGTTTCGTGCCTTCCCGACTGGTGGCGTAACATCGTTGCGGCACAATTGGTCGTAGCTGCCGTGTTGGTCTTCTTCGCCACTTTCCTACCTCGTGTGCTCGTCCGGTTGCTCATCTTCGTATTCACTAAGCTTCCGTTTATGCGCCAGTACGATCACAGAATATCATTTCTTAACTATCCTGACGATACAAGTGTTTGTTAATCGATTGTTTGTCGCCATCCAGAGTTGCTGAAGACTTTCGAGAATCATGTGTCGGATCCACATCGTATTTCATCTCGATGTCGCTAGTATTATTGTCGCTAGCAGTCTCGCAGCTCCGCAAGTTCTTTTGTCATCTTCCTACGTACATTTGGGGCGTATTTTTCCTCTATTGGCTCTATTCGCTTTTCAATGTCGTCGAGAGTGTAAGAAATCTTTGAAATGCTTTTCTTAAACGTCTATGCTTACACTTCTTGTAGTTTGCTATCCGGCGCTTTGTTGGTACAAATGGAGATTTTTCGAAAAAGATGGTAATTTCCGAGTCTGTCAAGGTAAAAATAATGTTATTGATCGGTAATATTTGCTTAATTAGTAAATTTAATACTCAATTGCCACCAGATATTAAGGTTAACAACGCTCTTGATTATCGCGTTGATCATCTATTCGTCTGCATTGGGAAGTAGTGCTACACTGAAATACTCTGTGCTGGGTGTGATTGGTTTAGCTATCGCATTAGGTTTCGTACCATCATTTCATAATGTTGTGGGTGGACTCTTTCTTGCCTTCAATTCCCAGTTTAAGATTGATGACTTTATTCGCGTGGGTGACGCAGAAGGTTTCGTTCATCGCGTGTCGCTTCGATACACGTCCG